GAAATGGATAAAAGTCTTGAGTGTAAGACTTAAAACCATAAAATATATAGAAGAAAACTTAGGCAAAACACTTCACAATGTAAATTTTAGTGATGTCTCTGCAGATTTGTCTCCAACAGCAAGTAAAACAAGAGAACATAAACAACTGGGACTCCATAAAACAAGAAGGCTTCTGCACAACAAAAGAAATGACCATCACTAAAACAAAAAGTCACCCTACTGAATGGGAGAAAATATTTGCACACCATATATCTGAAAATGGTCTGATATTGAAGACCTACAAAGAGCTCATACAGCCCAACAAAAAGAAAATTTAAAAAATGGGAAGAATCACTATATGGGCACACCTCCAAAGACATACAGATGGCCAACAGGCACTTTTAAAAATGTTCACTTACCATCAAGGAAATGCAAATCATAACCAGTGAGTTTACCGCATACCCGAGAATGGCCCATATCAAGAAGACCAAAAACAAGTGCTGGCGAGAATACAGAGAAAGAAGGAACCTTCTTACGATGTTGGTGGGAATGTAAACTGGTCCAGTGGAAAACAATATGGAGTTTCTTCAAAAGACTAAAAATGGACCTGCCCATACAAACCAGTAATTCCACTCCTAGATATCTACCCAAAGGTCACAAAAACACTAATTTGAAAAGAAATTTGCATTCATGTTGATTGCAGCACTATTTGCAATAGTCAAGCCATGGAAACAACCGAAGTACCCCAGAACAGATCACTGGATCAAGAAGAGGTGATATATATTCACAGTGGAGTACTACTCAGCAATCAAAGGTAAATTCATACTATTGGTGGCAACCTGGATGGAGCTGGAAGGGATCATGCTAAGCAAAAGAGAAAGATAAATACCTGATGGTGTTACTTATATGCGGAATACAGAGACACCAAGCAAAGGGTCAGATAAAGTCAAATTTAAATACTAACCTTTGACACCTGACCACAGAACTGAGACACCCAGATGGGTAGGGGAGAGAACCACGTGGAGAGAGAGCGTGCAATGGACTATGGTGGTGGACTTTGGGTACTTTGATGATGGGTGCACTCTGGTGACTGCATGGGGGTGGGGAATGGGAGAAGGGCATGGAGATCCTACACTTATAAAGATACTAATGACTATGTAAACCAATTGAAAAAAGATTTGTAACAGTGCCTGGCGCATGGTACCTGCTCAATAAATATTTTTACACTTCCATTGTTAATAAAATCCAGGGCATTTATATTCATTTTGGGGTGGTTGGATAGTGGACCTTTTCTCTCCCTGTGGTGGGTTGAAAATAAGATGGGCTTCCACAAACTACCAGATCTAAGAACTCTGTGTTTAAAGACAAAGGAAAGCAAAGTGAGACCCCAAAATGTCTTCGTTAGAGGAAGCGACCAATGAAAATAACAACCTGAAAACTTGTTCTTGAAGGATAAGCCCTGAGCAAGCAGAGATCACAGGGTTGGCTGAAAATCATGTTAGAAATGTTATCACATATGTTGCTCAAAGGAGAGGAAACATTTAGTGTATATTCAAGTTCCCTGAAGTTTATTCTCCTTTCCCTGACAATCAATACCCTTTTCTTTCATTCTTTCAAATTCTATACACAGGGCCTCCCCTGGTGGCGCAGTGTTTGAGCGCTGGGCTTCGAAGCTGCCCGCAGCCTCTGCAGCGCCAGTTTGATCCCCGGCCACCTGCGAGGGTCCCACATGGCGCGCAGACCTCTCCTACCGCCCGCTGCTCCCCTCAGCAGTGTACTTTGGTCCTTCTGCCTGTTCTGCTCCCCGCTCTGGTGAATTCTCTCACCCTCCCGTGCTTCTGACTGTACCCAGTGCTTGTATAAATAAATAAATCTTAAAAAAAAAAAAAACAAATTCTATACACACACAGATCTCATGTATTGATAACAAGTTTCCACACTTGAAATGTTCCTAGTCCTATATATACCTCCAGAGACTCAACTACTTCATGATAATCTCATCCATTACAGAAGTTGAAATTCAGGCTGCTATTGTGATTTATTTTGATTTGGACATTCTGGATACATGCTTAAAGATATTGACCCATTAGTTCAGCTCTGTACAAAATCTTCCAGAGTATGAAGTCTAATGGAAAAAAAACCCTTTTTTGCACCCCATTCTCCATGTGAAAATACACATTCACATTTGTCTTCTTGTAGAATCTAGTCTTTTTAAATAGATCATTCCTTTCATATGACACTCAAGAATATGGCACTTTACTGTTAACATAGTTTAATAAGTCTATTCTTTCCATGTATATAGCGAGCATTACTCCTCGATTTCCTTGGACTTACATGCTAGCTCTCTCCTATAAAGCTTTTTTTGCTACGAAATATGGATATAATGTAAAATGATTATTTTTCTATTTGCTGTTATTCCTGTCTTAGAAGTACAGACTTTAAAGGCTTAATTATATTTTGGAAAAACAGCTTTTACCACCTTCAATTTTATGTTAACACTTCCTAATGAACTGAGTTGTCCCCTTAATTTATCACCACAAATTATGTAACTATCCTATTAAAAATATTTTTAACTGTATAGCAGATTGTGCTCTCATTTGTTTTTAGCCCCTTTTTTTGGTTCTTATTTCAGTATTGAGATTCTTGTGTGGGGATTAAATAGGTATTTATTTATATGCATGGATTTAATCATCACATATATATAGATTACTTGTTCAAAAACTGTTATCTAAATAAACATACTTAAAGCCTATTTGAGTGGGGCAAAAGCAACAATTCTGAAGCCATCTGGTTATCTTAAGTTTTAACTGTTTCCAACTCAGACATTTCTAGGTATCTTCAAAAAGAGAAACTCTAATGTTGATTCATTTCCCCCCAACATTTATTTACTTGTTATAAACTGTATTTAAAGTGGTTGCTTCATAGTTTTGGATAGAAGAATGACTTAGTTGCTTTCCTATATAAGCAATCTTGTTAATGGTCATTAAAATAGGATTTGGCTGCCAAATTCTAATTGTATTAGTAGTTGTTGACTTGGCTCGCTGCCTGTCACAGTAGATCATTGGAATCTTTTATTTTCTCCTTTCTTTATGCAGTAAACAGCCCTGTTTAGTCTGTGTATTGATATATTAAATACACATACAGATGTCTTAGTCTTCGATACAAGGCGTCTACTGCACTGCTTATGTAGGCTGGATTCTATGTTTAGTCTTTTAAAATACTCAAATATTATTTTAATTCTCTTGACTGCAAAGGACTATAAGTCTAAATTTAAGCCATTAATTTGAAAAGCAGTGCTGGTTGTAAAAGATACTTCATTTCTATTTTGCTACATTTGGCAATGATACTAATCCATAAAATAACTTTGAAATCTGTCATGCATCATTAAATCCATTTATGCTTCTTTGTAAGTGTTTAAATAAATTTAACTAGCCTATATACTGAAGAAGTTGATTCTTTGTGGGGATTATAAAGTGAGTTATGTATATATTTTAATGTTGCCTCAAGGTTGACTTTAATTTGGAGACTTTGAAAAAGCACATTAAGAAACTTTGTGGCAGGGTATGATGACATTGGTAATAATGTTTTTGTAAGATGTGAAGTAGGGTCCATGAATGTGTCCACTGGTGTGTTAAGACATTAGAAACTATATTAAGAACTATATTTATTATAGGAGTCCAAGCTATTAAAGGAGTGGCATTACAATGTAGTTTAATGGTAATCTACACACATTAACAAAATGTTTTGTATTCGAGAAGCCATTAAGATATTGAATTGTTAGAATCATAGCTGCAGATTGAACCTTACTTGTTTACACTGTGGTCTAAATGGTTTATGTGACAGAAAGCCAGAAAAGGGGATCCTGGCAAAAATACTGTATTATACTATATTTTAAATAAGGATATATATGTAAAATCATTTCTATGGAGACTATATTTCAATGTATATAGTTTCTACCCTTTATATTGTCTTTTCACTTTTTTCCCAGCTCATCTGGTCTTTTCACAATGCTTTGTACTTAGAGTCCCATCAAGAGAACAAAAAAAATTTTTTAAGATATGCATAAGTTCCAGCTCCTCCAACTTATTTTTCCCCTTGCTTCAGTTAGTCTGAATCCTGTACTGTACTTGTTTTGCTAGGCATGCTCCTGTGTCCTTATAACAAAGCCACTCTCTGCCTCACATGCTTTCACCCCAGATAGCTGAATGCTTTTCTTCATGACTTTAGGTCACTCTCTAGATCACAGCCACCACCTGGGAGAGGACTTTCATGGACCCTCGTGCCATCTCTCCCTCTTTGTCTCAGCTTTGCTATGTATTAAAAAGAACTGTTTTGTTATGTATTATCTAGCATTTTTCTTTGTTTTGGGGTGAGTCTCCTATCAGTTCAGTTAACCTTATTGTCTGGTAGGACATGGAAATGATCATTTTAAAGCAATATCCATAAAAGTGTAGATACTCCTGTATATATCCAAAGTTATTTATACCTGAACCCTTTATAGGTGACAATAGCTTAGAGTATATATTCTAGGTCTCTGGATAGCCTCATGTTTTAAAGGGAAACTGGATAGCCTCGTGTTTTAAACAGGACTTCATTATTCCTTCTATTTTTAAGCTTCTCTTTAGCATTGCATATTTTATTCTTTTAGCATTTTAGGAAACTTTTGCATAATGGAAAATAATTTCAAGGATGATTTTTCAGTGAAGTATCTTGAAGCCATTGTTTGCCAAATTTTACTTCCTTTAATTCTATTCATAAGCCTGTATGTATTGAGTACTAAGTACACTCCCAGGACAGGTACATTAAAAGATGCTACAGGCTGCCTTTATTATTATCCAGCAACAATTATTCTTTATTCTAAATCAGTTTCAGTTATCTTACTTTCAAGTTGAAATGCACAGAATTTATGTATAGTTTGTTGTGTTTAGATAAATCCAGATAAAAACACTTCTCTCACTTCAGAAAGTTCCCTTATCCTATTCTGTGGCTTTTAGTTTAAATTTTGTTCTTTTCCCTACTAGATATTTTACCACCTCAACTGAAATCTGCAAATTCTTCTAAGAGTCCTACTTCTTCAAATTCTGGTGATTTCATGGATTCTACAGACAGAAACTACTGTATGAAATTATGGGCCAAACTTTCAGCCATTAAGACACCAGTGGTAAGGAGGGACTGTTGGGGTGAAGCCCCAATTGAGCGTTACATAGCATCAGACCAAAAGAGGGTTTCATATTTTGAGACTAATTTATTTCCCCCAAGACTAGTTTATTTTTTTAGCCCTTTTCTACACCTGTAAGAATAGACATGGGTTCTAAAATAAGACTTCAGTGTAGATTTTGTTAGTACCATTCCCCCTGATACTCAACACTTTTACTTAGTACCACGATAAAATTAATGCTGTAAAATAAGCATTTCAAGGGAAAAGTTGTTTTGTTGTTGGGATACTCCTGAGTATTCTTGTGTTGTACTTTCAGAGTGAGTCCACCCCAAGTGTCCACATTTTCAAATTAGCAGTACTGAAACCAGTCCTCCAATAACTTAGTTCCAACTCAGGTTTCTGAGGAGTCAAAGAAATTAGTGTGTGCAGGCACTGAATATCCAAATTGGCAGTGCATTCCGATTAGGCTGTGCTCATTTTCTACTTGAAATAGTCTCTATAGAATGATCTGGGAATACAGAGACCTAACTTATTGCCATTTCAGTTGCCACACAAGCAATAGAACTTTCGATCTGGTGGTCAACTCCTTAAAGCTAGCCTGCTCTAAGGAAATCTTCACACCACCTTCTAAAGTCAGAACCACAGGCAGTGGTCAAAAGAATCAAACCAGTTACTGGTTCCTTTATATACATACAACAGATTTACTCTTTAGAAATTAGTGTGAATATAACACTAAATCACTGTTGTCAAATATATGGGGCAAATTTGTCTGAGATTATTTTTAATCTCATTTTCTTTTAAATATTAATTTAATGCTGTATTGAAAGTTTAAGTATTTATCAAATTTTAGGATATATCATAGGTTATCAATCTTTCACATAGTTTTTGTAATGTTACAAAATGAACAAGATACCTCTGTAACATCAACACAATAGAAGCTTCAATGAGATGATACAATAGTTATGTGAGAGAACATAAAAGAACCCTTCGAAAACATTAATAACTTGGAAAGTGCTTTCATGTGGATTATCTTGTGTGAGCCCTTGTTGAAACCCTTAGAAGTTATTTTCTACTTTTTAGTTTCCCAACATAAATTTGCATGTATTGAAGGAATTGCAGCTTCCTTTGTCAAAAGACTGTATCTTAAATCATCAAAAAAAAAAAAAGTAGATTTTTCTGTACTTTTTTTGGTGCCAAGCTGTATATTTAATATTTACATCTTTACATTTGGAAAATATTAAGAGAGCCATTTGACAGTGAGAGACAAAGTAGGTAGAAATTTCTGTTATCATTGCTTGTTTACTTCTGTTTTTCTGAAGCGCCCTTTCAGCTTTTGCTGAAGACTACACTCTTCCTGTCCTGCTCAAACCCACCTCAAAATTCACTGTGCAATGAGGCCTTCAAGTTCAATCCCTCTAACCTAATATTCCTCTTTCCTTGTGCAGTTTGCGAGTAGGTGTCTGTCACGGTATAATTACAAAATAATAAGACTACTTTTTGTATCTTATGGTAACCACCCTAATTCCTTGGTAGTTACATATGCATATGTCATAACTGGTTGGGTAAATGTAAATTTACATTTGTGTTTCTATCCGTATTTTTATACTATGATTGTTTGTACCTATACTTCACTATTGGCTCCTTGGCCTAAGTGGTAATGCACTAACACTGAGTTCATGTGACAGTCTTGTCTACTAGATGATCTTACAGAATTTATTTATCTGCGATGCAATGTCACTTTGTTTTCTGTAAAGTGGAGTCAATAACACCTACTTCCCAATGCTATTGTATCAAATGCATGTAAACCTTCTATGTAAATTACTGACCACAAACCAAATGTCAGTTGCTATTGTGATAATGGTTGGCAGGGAGGGGAAAAAGGAATCAGGCCTTCAAGTGTTCTACTTTATGTTCAAGAATAGCACCCCTCCTTTGAGTGATTGATCAATATCTCTGTAGCATTAAGGATCTTTAGAGTCATGGAAAGTGGTTTACTTGAATTCTACTCCTAGTAAAAGCAGATTTGGTAATTTGGACCAGCTTTCCTGCTGAGTATAACTAGAAAACCTGGACCAAAAAACAAAAAAACAAAAAACAAAAAAACCTACCTGGAAGTACTGGAGAACAAACAGAAGAGCAAAACAATACCTGTCCAGGAATTAGTGGGGGAGACCCTGTGAGATGAGCTTGGTACTAGAGGACACTTTATCCAGTGGATCTTTGCTAATTGAAATAAAGTTAAGGGGCTGAAATGTCACTTTTGACAGTCTGGTAGGAACAAAACAACACTGGGTTTTGAGGCACTGAGGAATGAGGTCCACCAAGAAGGGACCACAAATGAACCTTGCTTATTTTGGGTTTGTACCTGGAGAGCTTCAACTTTGAAGTAAGAGTGAACAAAAAGTACTCAGAACTTCATAGGAAATGGAGTTTAAGATTAAGAACTCATTGGAATTAGATTGAAAGATCTCTGATTACTAGTAGTGTCCTTGGGCATATGGCCAAAAAAAAGTATAAGTACTTTTGTAAGTACAATGCCTAGTACAAAAATGAAGATGGAAAAGCAAACAATAAGTAACAGAATCTAAAGATATTAGAAATGGCCTGAGAAGTTATTTGGATAGTGTCAGTATCAAACTCACATTTTGAAACCTCAAAGTGTGAATGATATCAAACTCAAACTTTAGACAGCACATTCTCCCAGATACAAGGCAAAATTGGAAATTTCAGCTAAAAGCAGAGATAATATTAAAATAACTAAACATGATAAAAACCTGGGAGAAAATAGCAACTGAAATTAATAACCAATAGACACATTGGGAGAGAGAATTAATACACTGGAAAATTGGTGGGGAAAGTAGATTATAGACAAAAAGGCAGCTGAAGATGTTGGTATAAGAAGATCCTGGGCTCACCTCCTCCTGTGGACACACCAAATATACAACTATATATGAAAAAATTGTTTATTAAAAAGGCCTGAGAATGACCCAAACACTCCTCTACAACAAGGTAAAAAAAAGGACTAGACCAAAATGGGTAGGAGAGACAGAAATGCAGATGGGCTGTGAAACTACCCACAGTATGGTGGCCCACAATCTGGAGGGATCTCACAAATACTCTCAAGAAAGAGTTTGGGGTTCATGCCTCAGACAAGGTAACTCAACCCTTAGACCTGCACCGGAGATAATTTCCCACTCTAAACATCTAGTTCTGAAAACCAATAGAGACTGCCACTAGGAGACCCAATAGGCTTTGGGGAGGAGAGGTGATCCTCTTGGAAGAGTCTGTCAAAACAGACTCAATTTGAAAAGCATCTAAATCATAAAGGAGTCTCATTAGTCATTGTTAAAGTGTCAGCCAGGGGGCAAGAGCCTGTCAATCACAAATATATGGAAATTAAACAACACTATCCTGGGTAAATGAAGAAATCAAAGAAGTGAAAAATACCTTTAGACAAATGGAAATTCAACACACCAAGATCTATGGGTTGCAATATAAGTGATTCTAAGAGGGAAGTCCATAATGCTTCAGGTCTACTTCAGATAGTGAGAAAAATAACTATATCTAAAGGAACTAGGAGATTAAGAACAAATGAAACCCAATTTTTGCAGAAGGAAGAAAACAAAGATCAGACGGAAATAAATGAAATAGACTAAAAAGACAATAAAGATTAATAAACTAAGAACTCATTATTTGAAAAGACAAAATTGAGAAACCCTTAGCTAGACTCACCAAGATAGAGAGGAGTCAAATAAAATCTGAAATGAAAGAGGAAAAGTTTCAACTGATACTTCAGAAATAAGGAACTAAATAACTGAACAATTATATGCCAATGAATTGGACAACTTAGGAGAGATGAAAGAATTTCTAGAACCAACAATCTTCTACAACTGAATCAGGAGAAATGTAAAATTGGAATAGATCAATTAATAGCAAGGGGACTGAATCAGTAATCAAAAACCTCCCCCAAAATAAAAGTCCAGTACCAGGTGGTTTCACTGGAAAGTCTACCAAACATTCAAAGAATACCAATCGTCCTTCAGCATCTGCCAAAATATTGAAGAGGGAGGAGGGTATGCTTCCAAGCTCATATGATACCAAAATCAGAGGAACCACCAAAAAAGAGTTACAGGACAATATCCATAAAGAACAGAGATGCAAAAATCCTCAATATTACAAAGTGAGTTCAAGAAATCATTAAAATAACCATACAACATTATCAAGTAGGATTCATTCCACAGATGGAAGGATTGTTCAAAATTTGCCAAAAATCAACAGGATATACCATATCAACAAAAGGGGAAAAAATCATATTTCATTAGATACAGAAAAAGCATTTGCTCTTTCAGCATTCATTTATGATAAAGTGGGTTTAAAGGAAACATTTCCACATATTAAAGGCCATAATGACAAACCCACACCTAGCATCATACTCAGTGGCTGAAAGTCTGAATGCCGTTTCTGTAGGATCAGGAACTAGACAAGGATGCTCAGTTTCATCACTGTGTGTAATATTGTATAGTACTGGAAGTCTTAGCTAAAACATTAGACAGGAAAAAGAAATAAGACATCCTATTGGAAGTGAAGTAAAACTGTCACTATTCACAGATGACATGATTTTATATATAGAAAGCCCTGAAGACTCTACCAGGAAAGGGGCCTCCCTGGTGGCACAGCGGTTGAGTGCTGGGCTGCAAAGCTGCCCGCAGCCTCTGCAGTGCCAGCTGCTCCCGCCCACTGCTCGCCTCAGCAGTGTGTTTCGTCAGTCTGCCTGTTCTGTTCCCCACTCTGGCTCTGGTGAATTCTCTCACCCCTCCCATGCTTCTGGCTGTACCCAGCGCTTGTATAAATAAATAAATAAATAAATAAATAAATAAATAAATAAATAAATAAATAAATATTTTTTAAAAAGAAAAAAAAAAGACTACCAGGAAACTGTTAGAACTAGTAAACAAATTCAGGAAAGTGGCAGGATAGAAAATCAATATATAAAAATCTTTTGT